TGTTTTAAGATGCCTGAAAATCCTAAAAGCCCTCTGTCTGCGCTGTATGTGTTAATGCTAAATGTTACAGTCATCAATGAGCTACCGTCTGGGAAAGTGCTGAGCTCAGCTGCTGCACATAGTAGGTGCCTGACTTTAAAACCTAAGGGTTTACACTCAGACAAGCCGGTCAGAAACACCAAGTTCTGTCCTTAACTAGCCCCATCAGCTCAGACAGTTTAGATCTTATTATGGGCTACTCAGCCTGGGCCCGAGGGGTGGGTGAGAAAGAAGCCTCTTCTCCCCAGTGTCCCCATCTCTGGAAGCCACATCCCCAGGGTTGTTTAAAATCACCAACTGGCCAGGCCTGGTGGCGCTGCACGCTGATAATCCCAGCAACTTGGGAGGCCGAAGCAGAGAGCCTTGCAAGTTCAAGGCCAGTGGTAGAGCAGCCCTAGGTTCCATATCCAGTACCACAAAAAAATGATAATAACCACCGACTAGGACTTAACCACACCTGGTGGGCTCAGGGTAGGAAGAAGTCCTTCCCGTTTCTCCTGCTTCCCAACTGGGGAAGCATTTTTTTGAAACAGCTGAAGTGCCTCTTGTGTACACACCTTATATACAAATTCCTGGATTCCAGAATCCACCCTCCCAGAGACTCAGGTCCTCCATGGCCTACCGGGTCTTTTCTTTTCTCTCTCCGGAGGGAGAGGCTCAGGAAGCGCGGTCTGACTGGGCAGAACGAGGTGGAGCCAGAACCAGGGGTCCTGCAGCCCAGGCTTCGGGCTCCCCAGCAGAAGCCTCCGCTCAACCCAAGGCTCTTGGAAGCTCTGTTAACCAGGGCAGGCTTCACGGGCTCACCCTCTGGGTGCTGGCGTGGGTCCCACATTCAGTCCAATGCTCTCCTGCAAGCAACTTTTTTTTTTTTTTTTTTTTTTTGGCTGGTGCTGTGGCACATGCCTATAATTCCAGCAACTTGGTAGGCTGAGGCAAGTTTGAGACCAGTCTTGGCAACTTAGCCAGACCCTGTCTCAAAATTTAAAACCAAACAAACAAACAAATAAAAAAGAGCTGGACATGTAGCCCAGTGGTACAGCACCCCTGGGTTCAATCCCCAATAATGAGTCAGGGTCTCACTAAGCTACCGAGGCTGCCCTTGGACACCCAGGATCTCCCATCCTCCTGGCTCAGCTCCCACATAGCTGGGATGACAGGCACATGCCACTGCACCTGGCTATGAAATTCTTAAATGACGTTTGAACATGGGTCCTATAGGCTTGACTGACAGTGGGTCCCACAAATCCCGTGGCCAGGCCTGCTCTTTGGTATCCAAGACTCAGGATAAAGGTCACCTCCTCTGGAAAGACATCACAGCTCCTCTCAGATGGGTTCCCAAACCTCTGGCTCATGCCTCCATTTATATACCCCTTAACCATCAGCCTTTCTCCAGTTCACATAAAGTTGTAGGCACAGTGCCAAGTCCTCTTGTGCAAGAGGTACAAGGTAGCAACTCTCCACAGTGGGGGGGGGGGGCATTAAAACAACCTAGTTGCTGGGAACTTAACAGGACCTGCCCACCCAGCAGGGAGAGGTGCAGTGGAGACCCTTCTGCAGAGCACAAGCGGAACCACTACTCTCAACTACCAGAACTGCTCAGAAGGAACAAGGCAGTGTCAGGAGAGGGAATGGTCCTTATGAGGGCCACCATACTCCCACGTGTTGGAAGCAGCTATTTTTAAAATCTGTTGGACCGAGGCTCCAGAACATTCTTAGATGTTCATGGCCTGTTCTGCTCAGGGTCAATTCGCTCAATACAGCTGGGGTGAGCTATCATTGATTCCAGTTACACCTCTGTCGAATGGTTTGATTTCCATCTTTAACTCAGTACCGAATCCTGTGCTGATCCAAAATATTTAAAATTCTCCCGACATATGTGCTCTCTTGTCAGACGGGGCATTCCGGAAAGTCTGGACTGAAAGGAAAGTTCTGGCTTTCACCTCTCTGCAGAACAGATGCTTTCACCATGGCAACGGTGTGTGTGCTGAGGGGAACTCAGAACTTCCCACTAAAAATATGTCAAGGCCCATGGAAAACGAGAATTACCCCAACAGCAAACCCCCCGTGTGAAAACAAAGGACACAGAAAAATGCAGTTTGAAAACTGTTATCTGGGCTAGGGGCAGGACTCAGGACACTTGCCTAGCCTGTGTGAGGCCCGGGGGTCCATCCCCAGCAGCACAAGAAAAACAAAAACAGTTAACCGTGGTCCACTTTCCTTCCAATGGTAAGGTGCTCATTATCAGAGCTTTTGGCTCAGCTGTTCTAAAATCATTCTTTTTTTTTTTTTTTTTTTTTTTGAGTCTGAGTAAGTCTGAAATTTTTTTAATCTGATTAAATTAAAGCCTCTAAAACTATAGCTGTCTGCCAATAAGAATCTGCACCTTTGGCAATTGTTTAAAAGTATATCAATTCCCAACCAAGATGCATGTCGTGAATCTAATTTTGAAGCAACATCAGATAAATACAAACCAAGGGACAGGTTACCAAGGGACTGGCCTGAAACTGGCCTGTCCTTTTAAAAAAAAAAAAAAAGTCAATGTCATGCAAGACAAAGAAACCCAGGAGCTGTACCAGGTGAGAGGCCAAGGAACGAGAATGAAATGCCACCAGTGAGCTGGACGGGTTCCTGGACCAGGGGGAGAAAATCCACAAAGGGCATTTTTCAGGACAAATGGCAAAATTTGATTAAGGACTATAAATGAGATCAATAGTAATAGATCAAGGGTAAGTTTCCTGATTTTCATATTTGCACTGTTATGTGCAAGAAATGTTCTATTGAGAATTAGACACGAATATTTAGGGATAAAAAGGAATTTCCTCCACAACTTGACTCTCCGATGACGCGGGGTGTGTGTAGAGAGGCTCCTTAAAAAGCAGATGTGCTTACTGTTAACAATGGCTGCCTCTGCGAGGGGCTCACAGGAGATCCCTAGAGGAGTTTTGCAACTTTTTTTCCCACTAGCTAGAAAGTTTAGGTTTAAAAGCTACATTGGTACAAATATGGCTACTATTAATCAGGAAATGCTGTAGAATGTCAGCAAAGACCATGGCCTGCAGCCTACTGATGAAGGTCATCTGTTTCTGAAAATCCTGGACAGTTACTTCATTTTGCTTCTGAACTTACTCAACGAGGTGTTGTTGGTGGAAAGCGTCCCTTAAGGAAATACTAACAGCAAAGTCAAAAAGCGGGTTCTCTCCTTCCTCCCGCTGCGGCCTCACAGTGTGGGCTTGGGACTCTGGGCCTCCCCCTAAGTGTATCAAGTAACTGGAGTCGCCTCCGTCGCTCTCCAGGCTGACAGTCGGCTTGCTGTTTTGTTGGGGTCAAGACAAATGGCGGAGCGAGGGCCTGGGCTAATATTCAGAACTGTGTTCTGTTTCCTTCGCGGTTGCACTGGCGGGACAATGGGGGCCATGGGCCACAAAAGGCCACCAACAAAGGAAGACAAGTTTTTGATGCTGGAGCCATCTGCCAATTCTCCTGAGCGTCTTTTCAAGAACTGAGTGAAGTGATGGCAGGGGCTGGGAAGGGGTGCTCAGGGAGGACAGGAAAAGCCACTGCAATATGAAAAGAACCAAGGAGGGAGGAGGGCGGCTGAGTGGGAGCCCAGGGCCCCTTGTCTTGAGCTTGAGAGACCCTCTGCACCCTCTCTGGTGGGGCTTTTGTCGGTTGCCAAGCATTTTCGATGCTATAGTAAGAATATGTTATTAAGGGCGGATTTAATATACACGACCACAAAAAGGCCCCTGCCGAAGGTCTTCTGACTACCCACGCGGAAAGCCGGAGCCTTCTGCGGAGATTACACTGGCTTTTTTCTTTAGGTGGCAAAACGTCCTGCATACAGTAGCTTTGCCTTAATGAAGCATTTCTAGAGCAACTCTGAATCTCCCCGCATCCCAGAAACTATGAATTTCTAAGACCACCAACGATAAAAATGTATTCATAAACACTGAACATACCCACGCTGTCAGGATATGTTAGAATTTCAATTGTTGGTGGATGAGCCCAAAACATATCACCCCAACATTTTTCCTGGAAGAAAATACTACGAAAAATCCTGAACCTGTGGACAGACTGCTTGTGTGGAAGCTGAACTACACACTGTAGCTCAGACCCCGGTCAGGAACCAAGTCCCCTGGGCATCTCTGCCGGAATCCTCAGTTTCCCGCAGGCGAGGCATGGTTTTGATTCCCCTCGGCTCTCCTAAAACAGCATGAATTCCTGAGGAGAGCTAGTCATCCTAGAGGACAACCGACTGCACCTTTCTCCACTCAGACTGGCTCACCTTCAAACAGAAGGCAGCCTTGGCGAGGCCGCTCCTGGCTTCTCCGGGGGGGTATACTGGGGTGGGCTTTAAAGTGCCACCATCTAAAATGTGCAGCAAATCGTACCAGGGGCCAGGGACCAAGTTCATCAGGCCCCTGGTCTTCAGGTCAAAGTCATGCTCACGATGCCTCAATATCGAGGATTTATACGATGCCTTCAAAGACGATGTTGCAGATACAGCGTTTGTGTAAACGTGTTGTCTTTGTGAAAACTAACGCTGCAGGGTTTGCCTGGAGAGCAATCACTGCCGACAGAGAACCTCTTTGAAAGCTGCTCGTGGCCTCCCACGTGACAGGAGGGCGCCCTCTTCCTCCTCAGCCAGCGGGGAAAAGGGAGCGGGCAGCTCAGGAGGGCACAGAATTTAACTCCAGGTGGAGGCTGACCACGGGCAGGTATTTGACGGGACCAATTCTTACAAGGCCAGGGGCAGAGCCCTGGGCCAGAGAAGCTGCCCGAGTCCTACCAGGCCCAGGGCAGATGGAACCGTGCCGTCCCCGCTCCCAAGCTCAAGCAACCGAGTGACCGAGCGACAGTCTCCCCACATGCCACACCCCAGCCCAGGCCTTCAACTCTGCTCCCATGACCGTCAGCGGCCTGTGACAGCTGCAACCCATGGCCCCGAAGCCCAGGCTGACCTCTTGCCGTGAGCCGGCTGTAGACCTGGGAGTTGACCTCCTTGTCGCGCACATAGCATCGGATCTCCTCCACCGCCTCTCGGATGACAGTGACAGCCAGCACGAAGCCCTGAAACGAGAGGGGACAGGGGGTGAGCCCTGTTTAAAACAAACAACTGTATACCTTCCTGCAGATGCCAGGGGCAGAAGAGGTGAGAGGCCGCTCAGCAGGGCAGTGGGCAGGACCCAGGGATCATCCCGCACCACCGCCCCGCACACGCCCCAGTCTGGCTCTCCCTCTGGGAACACACGCTCACTCACACCTGGAGACACGCTACTAGAGAAACACAGAGGCGGCCACCAGCGTCATGTGGCACACCCACATGCGCCATCGCAGGGCCTGGGAGGGAAATGCCTAGGAAACCTGACGTCTTTCCACAGGTCAGGGACGCACTTGCTCACAGACACCTCTCACTCACGGTGCCACTGTCAAAATGCATTTCATCAGGCCGTGTGCACCCACACCACAGAGCAAGGAAGCCATCCTCCTGTGCATCTCCAGCAACCCAGGTGGACGGGGTCACTAACAGGGACCATTCAGCAACGTTAAAAAAATAATAAGAGCCGTCCACTGCATTGACAGCAGAGAGGGGAAGTCAACCTTCCAGAATGCACAGCACAATGCTGTCCCTATGAACAACAAAGAGCAAGTGACCTGCTAAAGTACTTTCTAACTTCCTGGACTGAAAGGAACTTGTTTCAACTTTTTTTTTTTTTTTTTGTACCAGGGATTGAAACCAGAGGCACTTACCAGTGAGCCACATCCCCAGGCCTTTTTATTGTTTTGAGACATGGTGTAAGTTGCTTAGGGCCTCACTAAGTTGCTGAGGCTAGCCTCAAACTTATAATCCTCTTGCCTCAGCCTCCTATGCTGCTGGGATTATAGGCACATGCCACCACTTAATTTTTTTAACTTTTTTATAAAGAAATCATAGTAAAGCATTGACCATGTAAGTATCAACCAATAAACATTAAAACACACCACAAAAACATGGACCTTCCCCTCAGTTCAGGACCCCCAAAAATCTGGTGGGAGAGTGAAGAGGCATCCACAGCAACAATCTATTTCCAATTCAGATTTTTCCTCTTGTATCAATAGAAGCAAAATCATTCCTTCATTTTTCTTACACTTTCACAGTCATCTTTGTATTCTCCCACCGGTTCCCTCTGCCTTCTTTTAAAGATTGCAGGAATAGTTACTGCCCAGGGGTGAGCACTGTGGTCCTTTGAGGATTTCATTTTCATATTGCTCATCCTGTCAAATAGATTAATTTCAACTCAAAGGACTTTACATCTCTTACATAAACCTTGCCAGGGATGTGCAGCTTCGTGAAACTCCTCCAAAGACCCACGCATGGTTACAACCGAGGGATTGCTCCCGCTTCCAATCAGATGTAAAACACATGCCCCAGCCAAAGGAAAACGGGTACATTTCACAATAAACGCATAACCAGACAACACAGGAAGGCGAGAGAAATGTGTTCTGGAGGGAGCTCAGACCTGGTTCGCCGAACTCTCCCCACCCCCACCTGCTGTTTTGCTGTTCTGTACCAGAATCTGGGTTTTCGCTGTGTTTTTTCCCCAAATGTTCCAGTTTCTATTTCTCTCTGCCTGGGCCTGGGTAAATCCCATTGATGCTAAAGAAAATTGTGGTTCATTCAAAGATAGGATCGACTCACTAACCTCTGGGCTGCAAATAAACAGCACCTAAATCATACCTGCCACACATGTGCACACACATTCTGATTAATCTGAACTCCTAGGTTAAAAACTGCTTTAGGAAAGGATGCGAACGTCATCCAGAAATACATTCCAACTATCCACTTTAAGATATCCCTAACATCCACCAATTCTTAAGGAAGAGTTTTACTGGGAGGGGGGGCAGTCTGAGCTGGTAAGGAAATCCTGCCATCATGCAGACAAGCAGTTCCCAAGGTGCTAACCTTCTTTTGTAAAGTTGTACATCAAAAATAGACTAAGCCCAGCCACTCAGGAAGCTAAGGCAGTGGGGTCATTTGAGCCCAAGAGTTTGGGAAAAACTTGGGGTGGGGGGAAGAGATTGATTTACTAGAGCAACACTAATCTATGGGGGATAAAAAAAAAATCAAAAAAGTAATTGCCTCCAGTGGGGGTGGGAGGTGACCAGAAGAGGCAGAGGGAAGGAGGGAATTTTCCACAGTGACGGAAACATTCTGTATCTTGATGGAGGTGGTTTATCTGAGTATTGAAACATGTCAAAGCAGACCTGAAAACTCACCTGCTGTGTGCTGTCTGGTAGAGTACCTTATACCTCAATGACAACATCCAGATTTACTATTTGGTCATCATACAAACCATTCAAGCTATCTCCTAAGAATTCCCCCCGCCCCCAATATGTTAATAGTAAGGAAAAGAGCTATTAAACCCTCAAACTTAACCTAGACAACAAGTAGCACTGTCATTACTGTAAGAATTTCAAAATTAAAATGAGGACATGGGGCTGGGGGCGTGGCTCCCTGGTAGAGTGTCTGTCCAGCCCTGGTTCCAGCCCCAGGATTGCAAAACAAAAGACATATTCTGAGAATTTCCTATTATACATCATGAACTATATGAAGCATTTTTTTCTTGCAAAAATTCATTTCATTTTCCTAATAAGTCAGGACCTAGATGTGACCATCCCTGTCTTACAGATGAGGAAACAGGCTAAGAAAAGAGGCTTATTATTTTGTAGGTAAAAAAATCTCTTCGGGGAGGAAGGAGAAGAGTGCAGGAGAGGAAGGGGAACCAGGGGAGGGAGGAGGGACGGGAAAGGGAGGCACCGCAGACCGAGAGTCACCAAACTGTCCTGAGAGTGCACAAACTCATCACAAGGAACCACGGTTTCGTGGGCAACTATAACGCGCTCACTAAAAAGAAATCAGCCACCATCACCTGAAAAATAGATGCTAATTCGTCTTTAATCATCATCCCCTTTCTATAGTCCTTATTAAGAGTGGTAGAAATACAAGACAAACACCCCAAACTTAAGCATCTTGGAAAAGCTCAATATAAAAGGGCCCATGGGCTGGGTGGGGTGGTGTATGGCTGTAATCCCAGCAGCTTAGGGGGCTGAGGCAGGAGGATCACATGTTCAAAGCCAGCCTCGGCTATTTAGCAAGGCCCTAAACAACTTAGCGAGACCCTGTCTCTAAATAAAATACAAAAAAGGGCTGGGGATGTGGCTCAGTTAAGCACCCCTGGATTCAATCTCCAGTACCAAAAAAGAAAAAGGTCCGTGGCATGAAATGAGAGACCTCCAGAGGCTGCTCGCACCTGCAGACAAGCTGTTCACCTGCCTGGCTTCCACCCCCAGCAGAGGCGGTGGCAGAGGCCGCGGCTAAAAGAAAAAACGGTAATTACTGCCTACACTGACAATCAGGCTCCTGGCTTCTCTTGAAAACTCAGAGCATCGCGTTAACATGGAGGCAACACCGGAGAGGAGGCTGGACTCCTCTCAGAGGACAGGCACCCTTCAGGTCATCCCAGGCCCTAACTACCAGGCTTCAGGCCACCTGCCTCACCCTATCCAGCTGCCACTAGGCAGGGGCCTCCCCAGCACCACTGCCGATGGGGACAAGAGCAGTAGGGGAAAGGGCGCAGCACTTGCGATAAAGTCACTCTGCTCCTGGTTCACCAGCCCCAGGTGCCACCTGGCCTCCCACCGCAGGAGGGACCGACTTCCTCCCACAGGGTTTCAAACCTGAATGCACATATGATCTACTTAGTTTCTGGTGACTCAGCAACTGAGGTGACTTGCGATGTGAGTCCTGTGGGGTGAGGTCAAGAACACTTAAGAGGATAAAAGGCACCTCCCAGCTCCACAGTTACCCAGCTTTGGGGAAAATCCCTCCTGGCTGCTGCCCATAAATCAGGCCTAGAAAGAAGCACTTGCCAGAAGGTGATCACAACCCTTGGAACATATGGCTCACGTTATTCTGCAACCTCCTTTCTCATGCAATGAAAACCACGGTGCACATCGCACGTCAGCACACACGGAGCTACTTCATAGCCGTCAACTCCAGGGCAACTGCAGAGTACAGCTAGCCCACCACTGGGCAGCTACTGAGTACCGCCGTGTGCTCCCAGTGTTGAGTAACATCAGCCACGCTGGGCAGGACACCGTTTGCATTCTGCAGCACACACAGAATTCCAAAGCCCCTCATGATCTCCCAAGCTCCTCGGCGTGGAAATGGAGAGTTAAGCCCCTGTCCTGCACAGCCCGAGCGTGAACCCAGGCCACGCTCTGCTCACCGCAGCCCCGTGTTCTCTATCCCAAGCAAGGAGTCCTGTTTCCTGTTCTGATCCTTTCTGCATGGGAACTTCCAATAAATGCCTCCGAAAAAAACTCAACAGAGCTTACCTTATTTCCTACCCAATTATCATCAGTCATTTAGGTTGCCGCATAGTTCAACCACGTCTACGTTAATCCAGGTGAAAAGGGGAGCAAATTTTTGACAGATGTGGCCAATGTCTTCTCCCCACATGGGTGCCAATTGCAATATAAATGAGGCTGGAGAGGTGCTAATATGTTTGCACCCCAAGAACTGATCAGATGATGGGTTGACACTACACGCTGGGCAGATGGATATAACACGAGAGGAGAGCCACAGGCCTACAGGGCAGGCACACAGCACATCTGAGGGGCAAAGGTGTGGCAGGGGACACCCAGCTGTCTTGTGGACATCTTGGGATGCCGTTTATAAAACACAGGCACCTACGGGTATCTAGAGTTTAACACAATGTTACCCTGCATGTGAAAGGTCAGTGACTGCGTGAGAAAAAAATTTTTTTTTTTTTGGTTGCAGGAAGACACTGGGGATTAAACCCAGGTGTGGTTACCCACGGAGCCATACCCAGCCCTTTTTATTTTGAGGCAGGGTATCACTAAGTAGCTTAAGGCAGATATTTTTTGGTATGGACGTTTCTGTGTTTCTTGAATCATGTGGACTTATTGCTTTTTTTCTTTTTTTTCCGCAGTGCTGGGGAATGAACCCAGAGCTTCATGCGTGCCAGCCAACGCCCCACCATGGAGCCACATCCCCAGCAATGTACTGCCTCAGCTACGTCATAAGATCATCAGCAGAAGGTAGCGTGATAAATGATATTTCACGCACACTGTCACTTTTTTAAAACAATGACTTTTGGTTTGATTTGTGCCAGGGTGCAGTGAATGGCGGAGGGTCTGATCCATGCAGGGGGTGAGGGTGCTTCATGTAAAGCAAATTGCCAACACGTGGGTCTGGCAGCCCCTGGTCAGGTTTGCACCTGCCCATGTCTGGATGGGACGTGGGCTCCCTGTCATCCCCAGGCTTCATGCTATGAGCCCGGCTGCCTCTGGCATCTCAGCTGATAAGGTGAGGCTTCCTGAGGGTCACTTCCAGTGCAGAGGAGCACAGGTAGCACCTGGCATTGGTGAAGCATCAGGCACAGGAGGGTCTGTCACCCCAGAGACAGGGGCCTGGATGAAGATTCTCCCAGCATCCCACCTCAGTCACAAGTGACTCAGCAAGAGAAGACTGTTCCTGACTTCCAAGAGCACCTCTGCTGCTTCTGGGGAAGAAATCCGCCTCCTCCTCTTCTGAGCACAACACGTCTCCTAACCTGGCACACACGGTGCATGACACCCACCCACGGTCGTCCCTCGGCAGCTGGCTCTCTACTTTGGAAGTACTTCTGCACCAAATCCTATCGTCTCCCGCCTGCTAACACCAACAGCAACGACAAGGCTTTTGTGGAAGGAGGTCTTCTAATTTTACAACTTTCTCTTAAGTAAAAAATTTAACAAGATTTGTGAGAACCTACGGGTTCCCCTTGAGTCCCACTTGGTGAGAAATAATTCCATACATAATGCCTCTGTTTGGAGAGCAGTGGGTAGAAGGCCGGCCCTCTCTGTGTTTTCTTCTGTTCCTCAATGCTCTAAGCACATGCTCAGCACAGGGGCAGGGCACTGTAGCCCCCTGGAAAACTCCACCCCATTCCCATCACGCCTCGGGAGGCCTTCACGGCTGCCCTGGCAAGAGGCCCCTCCAACGCCACCCACAGGCAGCACTGAGCGAGCTGGGATAGCCACGGAGCCTGGCCTCACCCTCCTGTCTCCACAGCAGCTGAAACACTGGCACTTATCCATGGATTGTCTGGCTCCTCCAAACATCAGGCTCGGGCTGGGGATGTGGCTCAAGCCGTGGCGCGCTCGCCTGGCATGCGTGCAGCCCAGGTTCGATCCTCAGCACCACATACCAACAAAGATGTTGTGTCCGCAAACATCAGGCTCACAGGGACAGGGACTTTCACCTATTCCACTCACTGCTGTGATCCCCTCACCCAGCACACAGTAGGTGCTCCGTAACCATTTTCCAAAAGGGGGGAGAAGAAAGAAAAGGAGGTGAGAGAAGGAGTGGAGGGGCCAGCCGGTTCTGTCACACTCCAGACACACGAAAGCACAGATTTTGTTGCTTTTCCAACCGCCACACTGTAACACCCCACACAGAATAAACGGAAAACGTGATCTGAGAAAACAATTCGAATACAATTAATGAGGGCAGAGGATTTGTCTTATCATTTGTCAAGTGTCCCCAGAGTCTAAAATTGTGCCATATACAATAGAACGCAATAAGTAATTTGTGCAATAATGAATGACAACTGACTCACGGACGGATGAATGGCCAGACTTTGCTGCAGTCTGATCTTGGCCGTGTTTGACATTAAAATCCTGGGGACTCCCAATGTGTTGACGGGAGGGCACTAAAAGGCCTGCTGCTGAGATCGGGGTGGGGTGGGTGGGAGGAGACAAAGAACTGTTTGCAAACCTCTGCGGCAACTCAAGGAAGGAGGCTGATCTACTCACCAGGGGGACCCAGTAGGTATACAGAGCGCCAAGCCTCATTTCAGGAACAAACTGGGAGCAGGCGAGAAGTAAGAAGTAGAGGTTGAAGAAGTACTTGAACTGGTTGAACAGCACCTGGAAGGTAGAGAGGAGATGTTCAGGGCTCACCTGGTGGGTGAGGTGTGGGAAGTGAATATTTAAAAACATTCTTAGGCGAGGGTTCGATTCCCATGCCCCTCTTCACATAGAGCTTAAGCAGTTCCATAATCTACCCAGCAAAACACATGGGTAGTGAAAATTCCACTTGAAAAAGTAAACAGATATCCACGGGAACTGTAAACAACAAATTCAGAACAGTAGTTAGTGGCGGTGGCATGCATGGGGTGTTAATTCTGTGGTGCTTTACTTCTTCAACTATATATTTTTCAAATCAGGTAGGCAACTGGAAATGTTATTACAGAAACTGTTTCTTACTAAAACTTATGCTTATGTTGAAAAGTCAGATCAGAAAAGGACGACAAATAGTGATGGCTAAATAGGATTTCAACACCACAAAACAGTACTGTGGAATCCTAGCCTGGTCAGGGGGGTTCTGGCAGAGTTCTGACTGCTTGCTCGAGCCCTGGGACTGAGACTGATCCCATGTAACTAGTTTTGACCAATGAGCAGGAGAGAAAGTTTCTTGGCTCTTCTAGGCTAAGGCAGTTTAAAGCCAGTACACCTCTTACCCGGCCCTGGAATTTGGTAGCCATACAATCTGGATGGCATACGTACAAGACAGAGGACAGTGACCAGTGCACGTAAGATTTCCCATGAGAGAGAAGACAACTTTTATTTTTTTGACTTAAGATACACAGATTTGGGCAAGTTGTGGTTTGTGGCAGCTAGTAATAGACATAGTCAAAATCACCCCTAAAAACATTCAAATTAATCTTGAACCACACTGTAACATACCCAGGCTTCCTTATCGTTGCCCAACTTCTCACACTAGAGATTTTTTTTCCTTCCTGCATTTGAACTGATTGCTGTTGCTCCTTCTAAAGTCAACAGGCTTATATTTCAAAGCTATACTGGAAGCCAGACACAGTGACATATGCCTATAATCCCAGCGACTCAGGAGACTGAGGCAGGAGGATCACAAGTTTAAGACCAGCCTCAATAACTTAGTGAGACCCTTTCTCAAAATAAAAAATAAAAAGGGCTGGTGTGCAGTTCGGTGGGTTCAACCCCCAAGTTCCTCCCCCCACCCCACCCCGCGTGTGTGCGCGTGTGCACACACCCACACACACAAAGTCATGCTAGACAAAAAAAAGAAATGTAATTTGGGGGAGTACTGGGGAAAAGTGAGCTCAGTCCATCCGTAGATTTATACAAGTCAATGGAGAAGCGCTGACTCTAGAAACGTTCACCAGGAAACATGTAAGTAGAATGTCCCTCTCCAGATGGCAGGGTTAAAATTTATCTTAGTTTTTTTTTCCCTCTATACTTTCATTTTCCAATTTTCCTATACTCCTGAGCATGTGTTTCATGGTGAGAAGAGGAAAAAAAGAAGTGTGGCTGATATTCTCTGCTGATGTTTTTATTATAATGCTGGGTTCCCAAAATACCTTTCCCACTCTTAGTTTCAACACATCAAATAAATGGGAAGTTATTCTAACCAAACAGGCAGAGTGTCACAGCCTTGATGACAGAAGGAAGTTCCCTGCAGGTGCTCAGGCCAGGAAAGATGAATCATCAATGACGAAGGCAGCAAAAAGAACACACAGTGTTCGCCAAACCTGCCCAGGGGCTCCACTTTGCCAAGACTGGCACCATCCATTCAATTTGTGGTGGGAAAAGAAAAGGGTTTGGACCTGCCAGCACATACCCCAGGAAGAAAGGTGAAGAAATTGTACTTCTGATTGTTGATAACATTCCGAGGATATCTTTGGTCCCTCTTCTCGGGGTGTCCCAGCCAGACAGTGCGCGGCCTGGGCTCGCCTCCACCACAGCATCTCAGCCACTCGCAGCACCTGTTGGAAACACAAGTCCACAGCATCAAGGCCACGCCCAGCCACGCCCACACCCACGTCAAGGCCACGCCCCACATGGAGGCCACACCCAGTCACGCCCACATCAAGGCCACGCCCCACACAACATACCAAAGGCACACCTACTTCTCCCAGGCTGAGCCCACATCAAGGCCACGCCCACACACCAG